CGGGAGCCCATGGCTGCTCCGCACCGGCCCGCTCCGCGCCCGGGCTGAGTACAGGCCCAGCGCTCCCCCTGCAGCCCTGCGCTCACACAGCCCCTCCCCGCCCTCAGCGGGGGAGAGCTTGCTCGGCTCAGTGAGCTTCTCGCTGTACTCAGGACTGGTGAGGCTGCACCTTGAGTACTGCGTTTAGTTTTGGGCGCCGCAGTGTAAGAAAGATATTGAGGTCCTGGAGAGGGTCCAAAGAAGGGCAATGAAGATGGTGAAGGATCTTATCAGGAGCAGCTGAGGGACTTGGGGTTGTTTAGTCTGGAGAAAAGGAGGCTGAAGGGAGACCTTATCGCTCCCTACAGCTACCTGAAAGGAGGGTGTAGAGAGGTGCGTGTGGGTCTCTTCTCACAAGTTACAACCGATAAGACAAGAGGAAACAGCCTCAAGTTACGCCAGGGGAGGTTTAGGTTAGACATTAGAAGAAACTTCTTCACTGAAAGGGTTATCAAACACTAGAACAGGCTGCCCAGGGCAGTGGTGGAATCACCATCCCTTCATGTATTTAAAAGCCATCTAGATACGGTGCTCAGGGATGTGGTTTAGAAGTGGGTTGGACTTGATGATCTTAAAGGTCTTTTGCAACCATAACCAGTCTATGATTCCATGAAAATAAAGAGCGAGCAGTTGCACAGGTGCCTTTTTGCTGTAGGAGAAAGGCAGGCTTTCCCCACAGCTGCTGCTGCCCTCTGCCTCCCATAATGGGATTTGGTACCAGCTTGCTTCTACCTCTGCACCCATTTCTAGAGCAAGCAGCCAAGGCACCACGCAGGCAGCCTGGTCAGGGCTCTAGCAGGGCCACAAGCTAGAGTGTTTGTGGAGAGTTGTGCGGCTAGAGGGTCACAGTGTTACCATCTCGTCAGAATTTCAGCCAGGTTTGACGAGAGCAGACACCTGGAGAACACAGAGGTGCATTCTCCTCCACTATCTCCTCTCTCCACATCAGCCTCCAGAAAATGCATCATACAGCAGGACAGCCCTCTCTCCTGTAGTCACCAGCTGCTGGCTGAGAGGAACAGCACCCAGGCAAGTCATTTGAAACAATCCTTTCTATTCAGCACTCAGCTGGCAGCAAGTGACTCTGCCAGCCATTCATAAAGCTGCTTTCTCTCTGCTGTTTTTTTTCCTCAAAGCACAACAGAAATTCAAGCCCCCTTCCAGATGCTCCCAGAGTCCAGCCAGGGTAATAAAGACTGAATTCTACTTAGCTGATTTTTACTCCAAATTGTTTTTGAAGCCACTGTAACATCTCCCTTGCTCCCTGCCTTTTCAGGCCTTTGGCTTTACATTCTTTCGAAGCCAGAAGCCTTTGCTTTTTGGGCTGACACGTGACAACTCTCCCCGAGGTGCTCTTTCTACCAATTGTAGTCAACATATGGAAAAGTGTTTTTGCTACATTCAGACCAAACCAGAAGTTTCAAGAGATGCTTGGGGGCTACCTGTGGGATGCTGAGAACAGACACTTCTCCACCTCACTGCCAGGTTCCACTTCAGAAGTGCAATGGCTCTTCAGCGCAGCCCAAGTCTTTGTTTTAGCTCATTCTTGTTTTGCCAAGCCCACGATAAGGCAGCTGGCTTGCAAAATAGCAGACGCTGAGTCAGCTGCCACACACTTCACCCCTTCAGATTATCTTCTCCTATATAATCTAGCCCATATGTTGTTCTCCAAGTCCCTTTGTGCCTGTGCTCTTTGGTGGTCAATGACTGACTGGGACAAGACACAGAAGACAGCGCTTGCATCACGCATAGTCAGAGGCACTGTCAGATAAATCTGCTAAAGGCCTTAACATGTGCAGGAGGAGCATAAAACTACATTTCAACGAGTTCTTGATTATTCCACATCTTTTATATGTTTGGCAATGTGGACAGATTTCTTCTTAGGGGCTGCGTTTGAGTTTGATGGCAACAGCCCAAGTCACAGTGGGTACAAGTGTGAGGAAGGCAACTTGGTGAGTAGACACGTCATGATGCCAACACCAGCCCATCTCCCCCAGACCCCTGACGGGCAGGACTAGAGATCCAGATGCCAAGAGTCTTTCACCAGCACTTGCTTTTGACCTTTATTCTGCAACCAGCATCACCCGCTGAGGCAGGGAGGTTACACATCCTGCTTTTTACCACCCTCCTTTAGCCCCTTTCTTCTTCTTCTGCTGTTGTTTCTTCTTGGTGGCCGGGGCACCAGCGGGTTTTTGGTGCCTGGGAGGGATGACGTTACTTGTGGCCGATACAGCTGCAGCGCTGCCGGGCCGCGGGGAGGTAGGTGGGCTGCTGGCAGTCCTGCTGGCATCCCTGCAGGGAAGATGAGAGAATGAGATACCATGTGGATTCACAACCACCTGCAAGATGTGGTAGGAAGGTGACAGCCAAAACCAGCCGTTTCCACATAAGATAGTATTAGGTAGCATTATGTATGGGAGGGCACTCATGCAAGGAGATCCTAAATAAGCTTCTACATATATAGAAGAGCTGATGGATGATGGAAACATGTCTCAAAGGGCAGGCAGTCACCTTCTAACTGATGTTCCCTAGATAGTGTAAGTCCTCAACAAAAGCAAGGCTAACTTTGGAACAGACATGTGACAGCTCATGCGACACAGGAGAAGCCTTTCAGCCCCCCACCTTTAGTCAGTGCAAACTTATCTTTTCTTAATCACAAAGGCATCTTTGTGCCAGCTCTCCTTGCAAACACTGTTCAAGCCAACAGTGCCACAAAAGGCTTTTCATGCTTCTGTTTCGAGACAGCACTGGCAATTCCCTGCATTACTATTATGTTCGAAGTACTTCCTTCTCTCAGATGCTAGTAAGTCACCAGCTTGCTGTCAGGCCTCATACACAATGGTAAAACCTGATTCCAGCTCAAATAATCAGTGACAACTTAGAAGGAAGTATAGCATTTTCCCAAATCATGGCTAATGGTTCTCTAGCCACCAAAAGACCTGAAAGCAAATAGCTCAAGAGAAAGCATGCAAAATTCATGTCATCAAAGCCAAGAAAAACACATTAAAAGACTACTAGAATTTTATTTGCACCATGGCACTTTCAACTAAGCCTATCATATGATCCCTATAGGGATCTTCAGGAAGAGTAGCTAATACAAGGTTCAGGTGGCAACGTACAGTTTCACTTGTGCTACCCACAAGTTGGCGTGGTCACAGAGCCACAGAAAAGCAGCACAAACCCAGCCCTCTCAGCCACCCAAGAGTGATGCCCCACATCAAGTCCTGCAAAATGGGTACTTACAGTTCAGAGGAGCCAGCTGTGGTTGAACCCTGAGTCCCCTTGCCAACCTGATCCTTCTTCTTGCCCTTCTTCCGTCCACGATAGTAGGAACGCTCTCGCATTGGAAGCCACCGCTCAGGGTCAGGAGTCACCTTGGGGTCATAGTTCTTAGGTAGCTTTCCTGCAGAACATCCAGTACGGAGAAATGAGACTGGGGTAAACACTCCAGAGAGGCATCACCAAGGGGATACGTATGGGATGTCAGCAGCCAGTAAGCACAAAGCAAAGCAACCCCACACCCTGGCAACCCACATCATTCTATCAGGGTGTTGCTCTCACTTCTGTGGAGCAATGCCCCATCCAAACAAGCTATCATGAAGATCTGGGTTCACAGAGACACAGTTCCAGCAAGGGGCTCCAGTTCCTGGGGACCTGACAGCTGGGTATTTGAAGAAACAATTTTGCAAGCCCTCCGGAGCTGTGCGATGTCAACAGCTAGGAAACACAACCTACCCTTCTTTTTTTTCTTCTTCTTCTTCACATCTCCTTGTCTGAAAAGCAAGAAAGGAAACAGCCACTGTGACACAGCACACACACAGCAGAGAAGTCAATTGCACCAGAGCTACAGCAGCCCGCTTTACCCTTGCTCCTTCTGCTGGTTGTCTCCAGTGAGCTTCCCAGCTTTCTTCCGAACATAAGTTGCTCCATGGGAGTTCTCCAGCGCATCAACATCTACTTTCAGTGACAAGGTGTCCGACGAAGGCAAGTGTTTGCTAAGACTGCAAGCGAAGAGTTCAGGGATGCAAACTGACAAGCAAAAAGATAACCACCCAGCTTTGTCCAGATAGCAACGGGCAACCTCAGCCTGAACAAATTTGGGCTGTTAGCAATGCAGATGCCAGACACGCCTACAGGACTAGAACCAGCTCTCTCACCAGCTTCCTTTTCAAGCTGGAATGAGCTGCTTAATCACCACCTGCCTCATTTTTCCCTTCTTTGATATGTGGACAGAAACAGCAACTTCCTCTGAAAGCCGCTCAGGGTAGCAAAAGCAGTACGTCAACCTAGTATTTTGGGTCAGCAGAAGCTTAGCTATATTTTATTGGCCACAGTCCTGTATTACTACTATAGGTGTAAAATTCCAACAGAAAAGACAGAGGAGCTCCTATTTTTGGTTCCACCTAGTCTTAAGTTATCAATTCTCAGAGAGAAGGAGGCCAAAGACAAAAGGGTCCTGAGATCCCACAGTAATCAAACCAATTAGGGAAATAATGTAGCTCCTGTCAACACGACCTGGATATGCAGCTGTTCTGGAGACGTTCCCTGCCTTTCTTCAGGTGAGAGTGGGTCTGAATTTCCCACACAGCTGAAATCCAAGGAAGCAATGCCCAAACACCTCTTTCCTTCCTCTGATACCACCATCAAAAGGATACACTTTAGCTTTTTCGGGGTCCACCAGGGAGTAGGCAGAAATGAGCTGTGCCAGAGTATGCACATCTTTTGGATTTTGCCTTTGTAAGGAAGAAAAAAAGGTCCAGTTATCAAGGCACACACTCATCCTAAAGACTGGTATACTCATGCAAAGCTTGCTGCAGCAGCATAGCTGCTGTCTGCGGGGACAAGCATGTCAGTCTGTGGTATCCTCCAGACCACAACACTGTCCACACTGTAGTGTGGACAAAAGAAGGTATAGTCATCTCCACAGTATCATGAAGCAGGCAATGAAAGACAGACAGAAATCCCTCAGGTCCCAGTAGCAAAGGCAAGTTAACAGTCCCTCCCCAAAAAATTCCATCAAAAGCCTAATAAAAACTAAAACCTAGACATTTGTGGTTTACATAGCACCAGAAAAAATATGCATCCCAGTCCCCAAAGCAACCTTCACTGCACACAAGAGGCCTCTGGGACATGTCAACCAGGTTTTCAAGTGAACACCAGGTACAGATCAAATGAATTATCTCCTTCCAAAACATGGCTTTGCATTGGAGCCCCTGTGCAAAAGCAGCTCTGAAGAATGGCTACCAACCAACATTGTCAGACACTGCCCAGCACCAGACAGCTTGCAGAGGTCTCCAAGTGGAGACCTCCTGTTCAACAACCACTCAACTCACTTCCAGAGCTCCTCCAAGTCACTGATTGCTTCCTTCTTCCTGCCATGCTTTAGTTTGAAGTTGGCAGCTTCTCTTATCAGCGACAAATGGACAGGAGACTTTGGCTGAAAGACACAGCAGCCATAATTAGTTCTTCATGATCACAGCATGGACCCCAGCTCTACCTGGCTTTAATGCCCCTGAGACCTGGCTAAGGAGAACCAAGTTAGCACCCCGTCATGCAGAGAGACCACCTTTGCACTCTAGGATGAGAGGCAGAACTGCACAGGACAAGGCAGCTTGCTGCTCCACAACACTTTCTAATCAGGGAGAAGGCCTCATTGCTACATTTGGGCACGCACTGCCACCACTTGCCTAATCCAACAGGAGCTGCTGCTCCCTGTTTGCAACACAACTAAAATAATGAAACCTCAAACAAATGTTCAGAAAACACAGGTCTCCAAAGCCCTAAATGGATGAGCTGCTGGGGCTGTGCAGCAACAGAAAAAGCTGAGTTGGACTAGCTAGAAAAAACTGGGAGAAATCCTTGCACATTAGCTCTGACTTGCCTGGAATTGCTGATACCACTGGATAGCCTGTGTGAAGACCTCGATTGCACTGTCAATGTCCTCTTCATGACTGTACATCGTCACCAACGCAGACACCTGCAAACATTCAAGAGCAGCTTATAGCAGATCTTCACACATGCTGTCTATAGCCAGAGAGTATGCAGTTACATGGCAGGCTTTCCCAAAAGCAGAATCAACATAAGCTCTCTGCTCTGCCCCTGAAAACCAGCTGCAGTAACAGGCAGGACACCCAGGTGAGACCTTCCTACCTTGTCCTTCCCAAAGAAATGTCCCATCAATCTTTCTCCTATGGTACAAGCTTAAGACTGCATTCACTGAAAGAACTTTCTTGTCTTGGGAATTTCTTTCCTTGCCACTGGACACACTTGCAATAGAAACCCTTTTTCTTCCCCCATTCTTTATCCCAAGAGCCATGAAAAAGGAAATCAGTGCTGAAGAGATGACACAGACACCACCTATTCGTCTACACCCCAGTCACAAGGAGAGGTGACCCAGGGCAAGGAGCTGGTATTGCTTTCTGCCCCTATAAACTACTCCAATCATTTACACTTGCAATTAGAACAGACCCAGAACTATCAGCCTCTGCTCAAGATGCTTACACTGCACACTTGAGAGCATTTTTGAGGTCATCAGGCTTTTCCAAATACTAGATGTGGACATGCATGCAGACCAGGGTGATGCTGTGGGGATGGAACATATGGCACTCTCTACCTAATATCTGTTGTCCTAAAGCTCCTTCAAAAACTTCCCAACAGTACCTACCAGGGAAGCAGCTGCTCCTGTCATGTTATGCAATTAAATCCAGGCAACACACAGGCCTGAGGGATTATGAGAGTGGGAACATAGGCAGAGAGCATCTCTGCTGACAGGCAAAGTACTTCTGCGACTAAGTTCAGGCCACCTGATACAATTTATAACCCCACCTTTGTCTAAGACAAGGAAGATAGGCTCAAATTCCCTGCAGACACTCAGGTCAAGTGAAAACCACAGGGAAGAAGCAAAAAGGAGCAGGCAGTACAAAACTGTGTAACAAGGGAAAAACCTCACACAGTTCAGACTGAGGTTTGCTTACCATACCAGGCTTGTGCTGCAGTTCTTCTATGCTCCTCAGGATCATGCAGGCTTTGGTGACACTGCCTAGAAGAGAGACAGGGAGGAACATGCTCTGAGTGGCAGAATAACACTTCACCCCACCAGTGAAAGTCAAACAATGCAGACATAGCAATCCCCTTCTCAGAACATCTCCCCAGTCTCCAGGAATAAAGGACAGGTCTCCACACAAAGGACCTTTCTACCCTTGCCACATCCAGCAAGGGTTCAGAAACAAACTTTTGCAAGCAGGGTCTCTTCCAGGAGCAACTCTGTGCTGCCCGACTGTGTACAGGAATGGTACCATCTGGGAGCCTAACACTATTCCCAAGACTCTCCTGCCCCAGAACAGATTCAGCTTCAATTCAGTCACAAAGGCTGTGGGCATCTCTGCAAGGGATCTGCAGAGCCTGGACATCAACAGTGACAGTAACAGTGACTGCAGCGAAGACTGCCCTAAAGCCTGTTTTCCTTAGCCCTTGTGCCACTATCACGTGCAGACACTTCCCAAGAAGGGAGGACACTGGGTACCTTGAGCAATTTTTAGCTGGGCCATCGTCAGCTTGATCTCAGCTGCATTGGCAGGGTGCTGGTCTGCAAAGTCCTGAGAGTCAGAAGAAAGAAAACTTCAACATGTGTGTGGGCACCAGGCTGCCGCTCTGGTTAATCATGTGTTGTGCTCAGTCACAGAAAGCTGCAAGAGCGAAAGTAAGCTTTCCAGCACAGGCAGGCTTCAGCACACAGCAGAGGAGGACCCTGAAGTGTGCCAGTGGCCCATCACCCTCTCACATTTCTGTCCCAGACCGTTCATTCCCTCCAAAAAGGAGGCTGTTGTAAACTGCTTGCAAGCAGAGCAGCAGAGCCCACTGCTTACCCTAGAAGAAGTCTATTACAGCTTAATAAGTATATAAATCAGAGGTGCAAGGCAACTATTTCCCTTTAAAAGTGGATTGTTCAGTTTGGTGTAAATGCTTTCCAGCAGCAGTAACCAAACCAAAATAAGCACACACACCCCTGGAAATTTAAACCACAGAAAACAAGCAAAGGGAACTAGCACATGATAACACAAAGCACAAGTTTAAATGGAGCTTGGCTAAAGGAGTACTTTCTCTTAACCTACCTGCAGAAGCCCCACAGCCTTTGCATGCTGCTTCTCACGACACAGTTGGGCTGCCTGGATAAGCACAGGGAGCAGATGCTCAGGGCTCTGTGACTGCAGGCTTGCTGACAGCTTGCGGCACTGATCTGCCTGAAGAGTGGGAAGAAAAAATACACATTTCTCAACCTCTGCAAGCACCTTTCACAAGGCTTAGATACCAGTTGTATCTAAGAAGAGATGTTAGCCACGGCTTCCCTGAAATGGGTATACAGAACCAAGAACAAGTCCTTCCAGTAGCACCTCAGATGCACCTAAGAACCCCCAACATCTCCTCTGTCTCCTACTCATTTCCACTCCGTCCTCCCTATAGCAACACTCAAGTCACTACACAGCTGTCTGTTCTTCTAGGGATGATTTGGTTTTGATCCTCACACGCTTAAACCAAGTGGTCTTGTCTTCTGACACAGAACAGCTGCATATCTATTTTTGCCTAGTCAAGCTCCTGTGGAGAGCGCTAAATCAATAGCTACTTACTGCAGACCAGTCTCCCCTACCTGGTTAGTGTACATTGCCAGCAAAGCTTTGTTGAATTCAATTGCCTGGAGCTGTTTCTTGGACAGTTTATGCTCAACACCTTCTGCATTGGTCAGCTTCACCTTCTTCTTTGAGTCAAAGACATTTTGGTCCTGGAGAAATCAAACATCATAAAATTTCACTACGTTCCTTGAAGAAGAAAAGGTCTCTGGGTCTGCAATTTAACTGCTGTTTAGGAAAAAGTCTTTCCTAATTATCCCCCTTTTCTCCACAGAAGCAGACTGAATAACCCCTTAGAAGGGACACATAGAAAGCAGCAAGGTTAATTCTATACCTTGTTAATTGTGATGATGTTATTTGCTATGACAGCAAGCAGTCCTACATCTGTTGGCCTGCAGATAAGAACAGCAGAAAGCACACTGTAATTAAATGGTGGTCTCTCTACAGATGGAAGACTGAGCATTTGTTTTAGAAATGCCCTTACTTCAGCTTGATTATTTGATTGTAGAGCTGTAGAGCGTCCTCTGTACGACCCTGCAGTTGCATGATATAAGCCATCTGACCATGAATAATGGCCAATTCAGCTTCAATGTCTTCTTCTGTCACATCCTGAAGGAATATCAAGGGAAAAAAGAAAAAAAGCTGCCATCTCACCTCTCTTCTCTTGGCTTCAGCATTCTGACGACAAATGTCCAAGAATAGTTTTAGCAGCAAAGTACCCCTGTAGCCACAGGTGAAGGTTGCAGCAAGAGCACAAACACAAGCATATCTGGGTTAAATCAGGAGAAAAGAAAGCTTCACCTGCTCTTGCAAGAATCTGAAGATACTCAACTTGTGCACTGAATCTGCCCCTCTGCTTAAACCAACAACAGCAATTACAGATTTCCTGTGTTTCTCATCACCCACTCAGTGCATTCATCCATGACAGGAGTGGATCACAGGGAGGTACCCACCCTGCCTGCACCAGCACAGGCAACAGTGCAAGAAGAACGGCAACAAACATTCTGCAATGTTAGCTGCCCTTCTGCAACAACCCTGAGTGCTGCCCAGCCTCAGAGGTGGGAACCAGCAGCACTTGCTGGGTAATACTGCACAGCAGCTTTGGTTACCCTCTGTCTGCACTGCACTTTACGACCACACCCTCATCCACACTGCTGCAAAGTGAACACTTTCCAGAACAAAATCAAGAACTTACAGAGTCTTCTGATAGCGACTGGCGGCACAGCTCTAGAAGGAAAACAAATTAAAGAATATAATTTAGAAGCCTTTAGCAGAAAAAAAAACCAGCCTAGAAGCCTGAGGGGAACATACACTTTTTCATGTATCCCTGAAACTTCTGCAGCATTACAACAGCACATCAGACTACAAGTCTGATGATCACAGAATCACAGCATATCAGGAGTTGGAAGGGACCTCGAAAGCTCATCCAGTCCAACCCCCCTGCCAGAGCAGGATCACCTGAACTAGGTCACACAGGAACACGTCCAGGTTGGTTTTGAATGTCTCCAGAGAAAGAGACTCCACAACCTCTCTGGGCAGCCTGTTCCAGTGCTCTGTCACCCTCACAGTAAAAAAGTTTTTCCTCACATTCACATGGAACCTCCTATGTTCCAGCTTGCACCCATTGCCCCTTGTCCTGTCATTGGACATCAGAGAGAAGAGCCTGAGCTCCTTCCTCCTGACACTCGCCCTTTACAAATTTATAAACATGAATGAGGTCACCCCTCAGTCTCCTCTTCTCCGAGCTAAAGAGACTCAGCTCCCTCAGCCGCTCCTCAGCAGGAGATGCTCCACTCCCTCCATCATCTTTGTGGCTCTGCGCTGGACTCTTTCAAGCAACTCCCTGTCCTTCTTGAACTGAGGGGCAAGATGATGGATGGGACTGAGCACGAGGGAGATGACTACATGATGCAGAAGAAATACCAAATGCACAGGAGATACTGTGCCTCCCACATCTGCCTTCTGAGAGCAGTGTCACACACTCATTTTCTCTCCTAAACAAATTTCCTTAAATCTAGCTCCTGACCTTTTCCTTAGGGATCATTAATCTGCAACTGCTCACCATCTTGGGAGTCATTTTAAGTGCTCCAAGCCTGCAACATTCAGATTACACCACCCTTTATAAGGCAGCAATTCCATCCGTTCTCAGTACATATACTAGTCACTTCCTAACCTTCTCTTACACCTCACCAGAAAACATCACTTGTTTTGCTCTCCAAAGGACTACTATCACAAGACAGGTTCAAATTACACATGCTCAATGAATCAGTTGTATGGGAGAGCTGCTATTCTATCATGAAAATCAGGACAGAACTGACCTACTTATCTGCAAGAGCAATTAGATCAGAGAGAAACTAATTCTTCCTAATTCTCTCTCCCCAGCATTTATTTTTAAGCACATACAAAATCCCCCTTGCACCCCCCCC